ATTCTCTCTTAGATCCCACATATGAGTGAGCACATGTGGTATTTATCCCTCTGTTCTTTGCTTGTTTCAATCAACTTAAGTTTCTCCAGGTTCATCCATGTTGTTGCAAATGGGAGTATTTCATTTTTTTAATGGCAGAGTAGTATTCCATGGTGTATATATACCACAGTTTCCTAATCCAATCATTCATCAATAGACATTAGGGTTGGCTCCATGTCTCGACTATTGTAAACAGAGCTGCAATAAACATGGGAGTGCAGACATCTCTTCAAAATGATGGTTTCCATTCATCTGGATATATACCCAGAAGAGAAACTGCTGGATCATATGGAAAATCTACCTGTAGTTATTTGAAAAACCTCCACATTGTTTTCCATAATGGTTGTACTAATTTACAGTCCCACCAACAGTGCATTCTCTTCCCTCTACACCCTCACCAGCATTTGTTACTCACGATCTTTTTTATTATAGCCAATCTAACTGGATTGAGGTGATATCTCAATGTGGCTTTAATTTGCATTTCCCTGATCACTAGTGAGGATAAGCATTTTTTCATGTATCTGTTAGCCATTTGTATGTCTCCCTTTGAAAAATGTCTATTCAGTTCCTTTGTCCACTTTTTAACTGGGTCATTTATTTTTCTACTGTATAATTGCTTGAGTTTTATATCTATATTCTGGATATTAATCCCTTGTTGGATGCATAGTGACCAAAATTTTTCTTCCACTCCGTAGGTTGTCTTTTCACTCTGTTGACTGTTTCCTTTGCTGTACAGCAACTTTTTAGTTTGATACAGTCCCATTTGTTTAATTTTCCTTTTGCTGCTTGTGCTTTTGGGCTCATATTCATAAAGCCTGTGCCCTGACCTAACTGCTGAAGTGTTTCACCCATATTTTCCCTTAGTAATTTTACAGTTTCGGGTCTTATACATAGGTCTTTAATCCATTTTGAGTTGATTTTACTGTATGGTAAGAAACATATCTAGTTTCGTTCTTCTGCATATGGATATCCAGTTTTCCCAGCACAACTTGTTGAAGAGGCAATATTTTCCCCGATGTAGATTTGTTGCCTTTCTCTAATATCAGATGGCTATAAGCCTGAGAAGTTCTCTATTCTACTCCACTGGTCTGAATGTCTATTTTTATACCAATACCATGCTGTATTGGTTGCAACAGCCTTGTACTGTAATTTGCAATCAGGCAGAGCTATGCTTCCACCTTTCCCCACCCCACTCAGGATTGCTTTGGCTATTTGAGGTCTTTTCTTTTTCCATATGAAAGGCAGGATTGTTTTTTCCATTTCTTTGGAGAATATCAGTGGTATTTTGATGTGGATTTTATTGAATCTGTAGATTGCTTTGTGTAGTATAGACATTTTCACAATGTTAACTCTTCCAATCCAAGAGCATGAAGAGAATTTACATCTTTTTGTGTCTTTAATTTCTTTCAGGGGTGGTTTGTAGTTCTCATTGTAGAGATCTTTCACCTCCTTGGTTAAATTGATCTCTAGGTATTTTATTTTTGTGTGTGACAATTGTAAATGGGCTTATTTAATTTCCCTTTCTTAGTTCATTATTTGAGTATGTAAATGTTACTGATTTATGGGCACTTATTTTGTATCCTGCAACATTACTGAAATTCTTAACCAGCTCTAGTTTATTGATAGAGTCTTTAGGGTTTTCTATATATAGTATCATGTCATCTGCAAATAGAGAAAGTTTGACTTCATCTTTTCCAATCTGGATTCCCTTTATTCCTTTCTCTTGCCTGATTTCTCTAGCTAGTACATCCTGTACTATGTTGAATAGAAGTGGTGAGGGTGGACATCCTTGTCTTGTTCCTGTCCATAAGGGGAAGGCCTTCAATTTTTCCCCATTCAGAAAGATACTGGTGGTGGGCTTGTCATAAATGGCTTTTATTGTTTTAAGATATTTTCCTTCTATACCTAATTTGTTGAGAGTCTTTATCATGAAGGGATGTTACATTTTGTCAAATGCTTTATCAGTATCTATTGAGATAATCACATGGTCTTTGTCCTTGAGTTTGTTGATGCAATGTAACACATTTGTTGGCTTTCATAAGTTAAACCATCTTTGCATCCCTGGGATGAATCCCACTTGATCATAGTGTTTAAGTTTTTAAATATGTTGCTGTATTCTGATTGCTAATATTTTGCTGACGATTTTAACATCTAGGTTCATCAAGGATATTGGCCTATAATTTTTTTGTTGTGTCTTTATCTGGTTTGGGTATCAGAGTTATGTTGGCTGCATAAAATGAGTTTGGGAGAGTAGTATCTGTTTCAATTGTTTGGAACAGTTTGAGAATTGGTATTAAGTCCTCTTTAAAAGTTTGGTAGAATTCAGCTGTAAAGCCATCGTACCCAGACGTTTTTTGTTGGAAATTGCTAATTACCACTTCAATCTCCTTGCTTGTTATTGGTCTGTTCAGGTTTTCTATCTCTTCTTGGTTCAGATTTGGTAATTTATTTGTCTAGAAACTTATCCATATCTTTCAGATTTTCAAATTTGTTATACAGTTGTTTATAATAGTCTCTAATGAGTCTTTGTATTTCTGTGGTATTAGTTGTAATGTCTCCCTTTTCATTTCTAATTTTTGTTATTTGGGTCTTCTTTTGTTGTTGTTGTTGTTGTTAATCTAGCTTGTGGTGTGTCTATTTTACTTATCTTCTAGAAAAACCAACTTTCAGTTTTGTTGATGTTTTCTATTGCTTTTTGGGACTCTATTTCATTTAGTTCTGTTCTGATCTTAATTATTTCTTTCCATCTACTGCCTTTAGTTTTGGATTGTTTTTGTTTTTCGAGTTCTTTGAGGTGTATTGTTAGGTCACTTATTTGAAATCTTTCCATTTTTTTGATATAAGCATTTACTGCAATAAATTTTCCTCTTAGTACTGCTTCTGCAGTATCCCACAGGTTTGGGCGTGATGTATCTTTATTTTCATTAGTTTCTAGGAATTTTTTGACTTCCTGTTTAATTTCTTCTTGGACCCATATGTCATTCAGGAGCCTATTATTTATTTTTCATGTATTCATATAGCTTCCAGCATTTTGCTTATTGTTTATTCCCAGTCCATTGTGGTCTAAAGAGGTAGTTGGAATGATTTCAATTTTTTAAAATTTGCTGAGACCAGATTTGTGACCTCATATGTGGTCTATCCTAGAGAATGTATCATGAGCTGATAAGAAGAAAGCATATCCTTTACCTGTTAGGTGAAATGTTCTGTATCTATCTGCCAAGTCCAGTTGGTCTAGGGTGTAGATTAAATCCTGTGTCTCTTTGTTGATTTGTTGCCTGGAAGTCCTATCCCATACTGAGAGAGGGGTGTTCAGATCATCCACTATTAATGTATTAGGTCCTATCACCTTTAGGTCTGAGTGTTTTCTTAATATATGTGGGTGCTCCAGTACTGGGTGAATACATGTTTATGATTATTATGTCTTCCAGTTGGATAGTTCCCTTTATTACTATATAGTGGTCTTGTCTTTTTAAATGTTTTTTGGTTTAAAGTCTATTTTGTCCAATATAAGAATAGCTACACCTGCTCATTTTTGGTTTCCATTTGCATGATATATCTTTTTCCATCCTTTCACTTTTAGTCTACATTTGTTTCCACAGGTGAGGGGGGTCTCTTGAAGCCAGCATATACTTGGGTCTGGCTTTTTAATCCAGTCAGTCTGAGTCTTTTGAATGGAGAGTTTAGTCCATTCACATTTAGAGTAGTTACTGACAAGTGTTTCTTAATTCCTGTCATTTAATTGCTTCTTGTTTAGATGGTTTAAATATCTTTTGATCATTATTTTACCTTTTATTTCTCTTCTTCGGTGTTAGTTGGGAATTTAAGGTGGAATGGTTTAGCTTCATTCTTTCTTGCTGGCATTTTTGTTTTAAATGTGGGGCTTGCTCTTTTTTGTGTATTTGTGGTAGTAGTCACCATTATTCAGATTCCAGATGAATGACTCCCTTGAGAATTTCTTGAAGGGCTGGTCATGTGGTGGTGAACACCCACAACTTTTGTTTGTCTGGGAAATACACTATTTCTCCCTCATTTCTGAAAGAGAGCCTTGCTGGGTAAAAAATATTGGCTGGCAATTTTTTTCTTTTAGTATTTTGAATGTATCTTTCCACTTTTTTCTGGCTGTAGGGTTTTGGTTGAGAAGTCTGCTGTTAGTTTGTTGGGGGTTCCCGTATAAGTGAACTGATGCTTCTCTCAGTGGTTGTAGAATTCTTTGTCTTTGAGGTTTGCAAATTTAACTATAATATGTCTTGGGGAGGATCTTTTGGGGTTGAATCTTTTGCAGGACCTTTGAGCTTCCTGGCTCTGAAGGTCTATATCCTGCCCTGCACCTGGGAAGTTTTCTGTTACTATTTCCTTGAGTAGGTTTTCAATACCTTTTCCTTTCTCCTCCCCATTAGGAATACCCACAATTAAGATGTTTGAGTGCCTGAGGTTGTCTGCTATTTCCCTTCAATTTTCTTCATTATGTTTAGTTCTTTTTTTCTTTTTTCTTTTCTTTTCTTTTCTTTTTTTTTTTTTTTGTCTGTGGGGCTCTTTTTAATGATATATATCTCCTTATTAAATTTTTTGTTTAAATCATAAATTGTTTTCCTATAATCACTGAATTGTCTATTAATATGTCTGTCTCTCAATAAGAATATTCTCTGGGAGAAGATCGGCCCTTAAGTCTCCCCTGGTAATGACACTCATGGGCTGAGAGAGCAGTGCTGCTTTCTGTGGTGGAAACTTATTCAAGTGAATGACCCTCTCTGAGCCTCATCTCTCTTTTAAAAGAAATAGCACCACTAGCTCCCAGTGAGAATTTAAAATGAGAGAACAGAAATAAGGCAGGTGGCCCAGTGCCAGGAACATAGCAGGTACTCAGAAATATACAAAAGTCTTTTCTGTTGTTTAATAACATCCACATTAATTGTAACTTTAAGAAAATTGCCATGACTTTGCTTCCAGGACAGAGTGTTGGTAAGAAAAGCAGAAAAGAAAAATTCAGAATTTTACCCAAATGGAAGGACACAAAAAAATTCACCTGATATGTGGAAACAGGGACAGGCTGCCTGGAGTTGTGCAGGGAGCACAGTTGGTGATCATGGAATTCAGCATGGCTATGGTGGCCGATGTGATGGTGTGTGTGTGTGTGTCTGTTTATCTGCGCATGTGTGCGTGAGCTTGCAAAAATCCCGTCTTCCTTCCCTTCACCCTGCATATTTCTGCTTGTATTGGCTGCCCTGTGCTTGGGGCACTGTTCACCTTGGTCTTGATCTGCTTGGGTTTGTTGGTGAGGAAGATGGGAGGAATTGGGGTCGCTGGCACACATTTTGGTCTGGGCACCCTGCAGGAAAGGAAAGAAGGTCGAATGCAGCAGGGTGGCTTAGGATAGCCAATCCTGGGGGCAACATCCCTCATCATCCTAAAGTAAGGATCCTGTGGGGAGAGAGCGATCTGATGAGGACAGCTGGAGCAATAGCCAGCATTTAGCCAGTGAACAAACTCCAGGAGCATCTCACAGGAGACTCTCCACTTCCACTGAGTGTAAAGAACTCAGTTCCCTCCTCCCTGAATGCTTTTCAACACCTCCTTTTTCCCTGAAGGTAACAAGGACCCTGCTTTTGAGTCCCCAGACTTACAGACCCCTAGCTCTGCCTTCTGAACTGATCAATGGAAGATGGGATAAGGCACTGGATATCCATCCTGTCCTGGAAGATCTGCGGGAATGAGTTGCTGAAGGAGGGAGCAGCCTGGATGGCAGGAAAACTGATCTTCCCTGAAAGTGAGAAACAAGACTTTCACACTTGAGACCAATTCCTGTTTTAGTTAATTAACCCAGTTAAAGAAACAAAATACATTTTCTTCCCATTATAAGTCTGAAAAATAGAGAAAATTAGAACAGAGAAAAATATCTATAGACCAATCTGTAGGTCTGTTTTCATTCATTTTCTCTATTTTATTCTATTCATTTTAGTTGAGATAGCATGTTTAACTTTTTCCTTGCCTTTTTCACTTGGTAACATTCACCTCTGTTGTTATTAAACACACTATCCTGTCAATGTATCATGTATTATTTAACCATTCTCTAACCACTGGCATTAGTTTGTTCCCCATCTTTAATTATCATAAATTATGGTGAACATTTTGGTATCTAAAACAGTGTTCAGTATTCTGGATGTTGTTGCTGTTATTTGCTTAGACCTACAGAAGTGGAAGCCAGCCCCCCTAGCTGCAGCACCTGGGCACTTGGGCGAGCTTGGGCATTGGCAGACCCTGCGGCAGGCCCAGGCGTGCTCTAGCTCTTACTGAGAATGTGTGGCTGTGGTGAGTTATCGGGTGCTGCTCTCTATCCCCCCAAGTCCTCTCTGTGATACTCTCTCCTAGCTGGCATTTGCTATCCACTTCAGAAACAGAAATTCAACTTCCAGGGTTCTTGTCTCTCTCTGGAGAGACCAGGCAGGCAGCTGCTATCACCACCAGCACCATCATCAAAAGCACAACACAGTGGTGGCTATTCCCTGGGTGGAAGTGCCAGGCTTTGAGTTCAGGGCCTTTCATGAGCTCATCTGTTTCTCACAACTCTGTGGAGGAAGGAGGCCCCATCATCACCCCATTTCACAGATGTGCACACTCAGGCACAGATCCTTTACCTGGCTTGCCAAAGCTGGTACATAGCACTTAAGCAGCTGAGCCAGGATTAGAACCTAGGTCTCTGGGAAGCAAAGTGTGTGCAGATATTCATCATGGGATGCTGACTCCTCAAGTGCTCAGTGCAGCCTTCACTGTGCTATGATCCCATTAGATGCCAGGATTCCAAGGATAAGAATCCTATTGAAAAGAACAGGGTTTATGTCCCAATTGTCAAGAACAAAGCTGACTGAAACATCAAAGAAAAGGGTTTTGCTTACGTGAAAAACCTTCCAATAAAGGCCCTCTGTGTTATTTCTGTATGGACTTATCCCTACAGGTCTCTCACTGACAGGCCCCTGGAATGTGCTCCCTCCAAGCAGGGCAAACTCTCCCCAGAGAGTCCTGGAAGTTTATCCTGGGGAGCTCTCTTGGCTGGCAGCTTTGATGTAAGGCCTACTAGGTCTGGAGCTGCTCCCCAAAAGTAAAATGGAGGAAGCGATCAGAAGGCCCAGCTGCAAGTCTCAAGGTGCTAAAAGTCTATGAAGGCAATGCATCTGAAATATACAGAGAGGGACTTAAGTGAGTGCACACAGCAGGCCACAATGTGCACATCAGCTGGGGGCATAGCCCCAGAAGGAGAGCGAGGGAAGGGTGGGGAGGACTCCACAGGGCCTCCAGCCAGACCCCTCATCTCACAAGGCCCACAAAGGCTTGCAGGCTGCTGTGGAAGGGAGCAGCAGACAGCTGTCCTCCTACATCACTCTGGGCTTGGTACCCAAGGCTACCCCACACTGACTTGGGTCTCACCAAAGGTATAGAAACTCCATTCATCCTTATATTTTTCTCTCTTTCTTATAAACCTTAAAAAAGATGACTGAGGAGAGGGACAGGTTTGTATCCTGAAATCAGCTTCATACAGCCCAGAAAAGTCACTCAATGCATCATACCTGCTCTTGTTCCAGGGAAAACCCACACCTGGATGTCCTATTTAAAGACACAGTTGCAGGCTGGCCTGTTAGCTCACCTGGTGACAGTGTGGTGTTATAACACCAAGGTCAAGGGTTTGTTTCCTGTATGAGCCACTCTCCAAAAAAAAAAGAAAGAAAAAAGAGGAAATTGCAAGTTCTAGCATCTCAGAAGTACTCTAACTCAGGCTCCAGCACAGCTACTGCAAGACTCTGAAAAACAGCTATCTTGTCCTGAGCACTGCTTGCTTTTTTTTTCGCAGCTGTCCACTGCTGGGATCCGAACCCCTAACCTTGGAGTTATAACATCTCCTTTTTACTCCTGTCCCTTTCTTTTGTTTTGTTTCATTTTGGCAGCTGGTCAGTTTGAACCCGTGACCTTCTTGTTACAAGGCTGTGCTCTATCCCACTGAGCTAACTGGCCAGTTCTAACATCTGCTCCTTTTTAATGGGGGCAAGGAGGGGGTCCACAGGCAGTAGTGGGCTCCTTACCAATGCAGTCACTGTCGGTGAAGCTGAAAATGCCTTTCACTTGGTTGAAGGTAACATGCTTCTGAATCTTTACCACATTCTTGTAGAAGCCTGGGCTCATCCTGCAAAGATAAGCAGAACCAAACCCAAAACTCGAGGGTGGCCTTCCAATGAGGGCAAAGTAGGAGCTGTTAAAACTGGATGCCAATGAGGTATGGTGTGGGCTAGACACCAGGCCACAGATGCAGGCTGGGGACATCGTGGTCACATGTGAGCACTAGGAAGGTGCAGAAACTATCTGTAGGAAAGATACCTGCAGCAGGCAAAGCAGACACACATTTAACTGCAGAGATGACCAGGAAAGGTGAAAACCTGTGTGAAAGGCAAAGTAGCAGCTATTAAAACTATGCCAATGAGGTATGGTGCGGGCTAGACACCAGGTCACAGATGCAGACTGGGGATGACATCGTGGTCACATGTGAGCACTAGGAAGGTGCAGAAACTATCTGTAGGAAAGATACCTACAACAGACAAAGCAGACACACATTTACCTGCAGAGCTGACCAGGAAAGGTGGAAACCTGTGTGAAACCAACACAAAGCAGACATGCAAATGAGGCAAGAACACAACCAAATTCAGAGATTCACTGGCTAACACGACATACTTAAATTTTCTTAGGGTCAATGGTTCAGTGTGCTGTGGAGTGTGCTCAAGTTTGGGAGCCCTGGGGAACTTTTTTGTTGACTGCTGTGGGAGAATATATGCTTCTTGTTGCAGGATGGAGTGTATGGATACAAACCGATGGGCCCAGGAAGGAGGATGGTTAGTCTCAGAGCACCTGGTCCTTTCAGCACCTAGCTCCTGCTCCACTTCCACTGTGGAGCAGCCCTGTTCCTGCTCCAGCAACAGAGCTGGGCCACAACAGCTGCTTCAAGCCACCCAACTCTCTCTTCTGGATGGTGAGGGGTATGGATATGAAGCCTGGATCTGTGGCAGCTGTTCTGCTGCCAGAAGCAACTAGGCTGAATATGAAGCAAATACAGAGAGGACACAGAACCGAGAGCAGCTTCCTAAACTGCATCGTCTGGCTTCTATATTCACCAGCTTTTTTTCCCAGGCCCTACCATGTGTCAGGCCCTATAAGGATGGAGGGAAGAAGTGGGCAGGGTAATGTTTATTAGTGTTTGTGTTATATGGCAGGAGCTGTCCTAGGTGCCAGGTACTGCCTAACTCTCCTTTGAAGTGGTAGCATTGCCTCCACTTTAAAGATGAAGACTGAGGCTCAGGGAAGTAAAGGACATGGTCACGGGCATGGTGATTACAGTAGCTGGGACCTGAACCCAGGCTCCTCTGACATCAAAGCCTGTGCTTTTCTCACCACATCTCACAGCTTTTGAAGAGTTTAGACTTTTGGCATTGGATAGAGAACTACTGAATGTCTTTGGGCAGGTGGGGAGAGGGACGTCAGGAGTGTGAGGGCACTGGCAGTGTGGCTGGGGTCAGCTTGAGGCCAGAGGCCTGTAAAGGAAAAGGCCACAGCACCAAGGTCTCTTGGTGTTTAAGCAGTGTCAGTATAGGAGGGACTGTCGTGGCTCTGGGCAGGGTGAGAACAGTGCTTGGAAGAGAAAGAACACACTGGGAGTACCAGTAATAACTGTAGTCCTTCCGGCATCTGTGTCACCCTGTCAGCATAATGAAAACACAGCGCACAAGTACAATTGCCTGGAATGACGAGCACTTGTCTTCCTGCTGAGACATGAACTGCTGCATGTAGGAATGGGTCTCCTGGGAATGGCCGCTCACCTGGCAAGAACCAGCAGCTGTCGGCCCCCCATAGAGATGCCACAGCAAAGACTGCACGCATCCTTGGGGTTGAGGCAATGGTGATCCTAACTGCCAGGGCAAACTGGCCTTCCACCTGGGGTCATGCTGCACAATAGGGGCCCCACAAGGAGGAAAGCCTCCAGATCTCCCAAACTGCGATAGGACTCCAGCTCTGTGGTGTTTGAATATTATTTCTGAGTTGGACCATTTTGACCTTCCTTAGAAGACTGGCCACTTGATGGCTGTAAACTGCTCACACTGTGCAGGCTGCAGGATGAATGGAGATGCTGCACTATGAGCATGAGCAGTCCTCCCTGTCCTCCCTCAAGGACATCTGTCCCCTGGGCACAGCTGGGACAGACCCACCACACAGCAGTGCCAATGTCAGTGCCTGTACATAGGTACTTCTTGTGGTGACAATGAACACACCCACCTGATCTTATCCCATGAGTGATGGCTGAATGACCAGTTCCCCCAGGAGAATACCTGCCCTTCACACTCAGGAGGGTTTAAAGTTGGAAGAGAGTTTAGATCACAACATTTACTGAGTGCTCCCCAGGGGCCAGGCATTGCTCGAAGCACGTCATACACAGAAACTCACGAACTCCTCATAAGTCTCTACAGCACAGGCACTATGATCTCCTCCCACTCTTTATTCTCTATCACCCTCCTCTGTCCTTCTAACACTTATTATTGTCTGACTATCACCATAGGACTCATTATCACCTGATTAATTACCTGTTAATTAACTCCCTCTACATAGTTGTTGGGATAATTGTTTTGTTCCCTGCTGTAGCCCCAGCACCAGTCTGGTGTACAGGAGATGCTCAATAAATATCTGTAGAACAAATGAGCTGAGCTGAGCTGAGAAAGCAGGCAGAGTGAGTTACTGCACGTGCCTAAGTCACACCATAGGTGGCCGTAAGGATCTGAACCCAGGCAGCGCAGCCTCAGCCTCTCTGCTATGCTGCCTCCCGCTAGCACTAAACTCACCTACTTCACAGGAAAATGGAGGCTCAGAGATTTAAGGACTTACCCAAGGGAACAAGCCTGAGCAGGGGCAGAGCTGGGTCTGGAACACAAGTTTTCAGACTCCCAAGTCAGTGACTTCACATCCCTCATGGCTCCTGGCAAGAAGCCTCTCTGGGCCCACACACGGGGTCCACAAAGGTGCAGGGGAGACCCACACTGTTCTTCTCCCACAAAGGCCTAGCTACTTCCCTCTCACCCAAAGAGAAGGTGAAGGCTGGCTTTGTTGTACATTTCTAGTTCCTAAGGACCAGGTTATAACACCAAGGTCCCTGCACTGGCCAGCCTCCACAAAAAAAACCACACACACAAAAAAAACCCAACAAAAAAGGACCAAACAGCTAGACAGAACTTTGTTATGTCAAAGATACAGATTTTAAGTTAAATTCAAGTAAGATTGGCAAGAAGCCTCTCTGGGCCAACATACAGGAGCCACAAAGGTGCGGGGGAGACCCACACAGTTCTTCACCCACAGAGGCCTAGCTATTTCCCTCTCACCCAAAGAGAAGGTGAAGGCTGGCTTTGTTGTATATTTCTAGTTCCTAAGGACCAGGTTATAACACCAAAGTCCCTGCACTGGCCAGCCTCCACAAAAAAACCACACAGCCTCAGCCTCCACAAAAAAAACCCAACAGAAAAGGACCAAACAGCTAGACAGAACTTTGTTACGTCAAAGATACAGATTTTGAGTTAAATTCAAGTAAGAGAAGTAAAATGCTCAAATGTTTAAAAGAAATTCTTAAAGGGAGTAATATGTTAAAAAACAGGATTTAACCTTTAAAACGTTTCTCCTAACTTTAGGTTCAACAAAAAATACCTTTCTGAAATATTACAGACCTGTTTGTTTGGTTGACATACTGTCTGATTTTCATCTTTACACCATGTTTGTAAAGAAAAAGGAAGTTTTTGTAGAAGACGGCCAGGAGCTCAAACTGCAGCACCAGGGCTGTTCACATGGTGGTCTTTTCCCATAGACTGTTCACAAGTTCATCCGCCCCTCCCCCCAAGGGCCTACCCCCAGAGTCATCTTCATGGACTTAACATAGGGCATTTGTTTCTGTCTCACCCCCAACATTCAAGTTCAGTGAGGCAGGGACTTGGTTCCTGTATTCTCAGGGCCCAGGGGGGTGCCTGACACAGAGAGCACTAATAGAGGAACTACATGTTTTACCCACCTAGTGGGGGAAGGGCCACACCACACCAGAAGTGGCAGAGGTAAGGCCCAGGGTGCAGGGGGACCAGAGAACAACATCTTAGTATGGCTGCTGGAGGGAAGAGCTCCTGGGAAAAGGTGATGCTTGATGGTGCATTTGGAGGACAGGGTAGGAATGGGCCAAGCCAGGGGTGGTAGGGTCAGGGGAGGTGACAGTAAAGAGCAGAGCATGTACGAAGGTGAGGGATGTGGGCAGAGCTGCAAGTTGTTTTGTCTAGTTGGAGGTGGCAGTAATGCTGGAGAGGAACACGGGGGCTAAATCACAAAAGGGCTCGTGTGCCACCTGAACAGTGAGAACCTGCATTGTCATCTGGTGATGGGGAATTGGGAAAGGCACGTGAGCGGGAAACGAGATCAGATCGGCATTTTAGGAAGAGCACTGGCTGGTGGGGGGATGCACTGGGGTGGAGAGAGGCTACACAAAAGGGTAGTGGTTGCTGTGCAATGTCAGCAGCACTGCCTGGTGGTAAAAGAAGGGGCCAGATCCATGGCGTCTCTATGCTGTGGTCCAAGCATTTGGATCAGATCATTTCAATGAATGGGGTGAGAGCAGTGAAATAAAGTGCCAAGTACATTTTGATAACGATGATATCTGTGTTCTCATCTAATCTCACTTCATGGAGAAGGCTTGCTGTGACACACAGCCACTATGGAGGGGCCAGGACTTGAACCCAGCTCTATGTTCCTTCCTTCAAAAACAGTACCTCGGGGCCGGCCCGGTGGCACACTGCGCTAGTGCGCCGCTTGGGAAGCGCGGTGGTGCTCCTGCCGAGGGTTCGGATCCCACATACAGACCGGTTCCCGCTCACTGGCTGAGCGAGGCGCGGGGGCAACACCGAGGGTTGCAATCCCGTTGCCGGTCCTGGTCCGGTACGGGGGCAACACTGAGGGTTGCAATCCGTTGCTGGACACAGAAAAAGACAAAAAAAAAAAAAAAAAAAAAACAGTACCTCTATGCTCACATGGCAGAATTGAGAGAGATGATTTAGAAAAAATCTAATGGTTTAATTTAGCAGAGTTAAGTTGAAAAAGAGAGCAAACAAACAAAAATCTAATGGGTAAAATTAGAAAATTAATTATTTTACTAGCTGGTAGAAAGACCAGATTTCATACCAGGACATCAGTTGCTCTCAATGGATATAAAGCTACTATTCTGCTTTACGGGCTTATAAGGGGAACAGTCTGGGGAAATGGTAACAAGCAAGCTCCTTTGTGCTTACTGCTTACATAGCCCCTGTGGTGTTTCATCACACCTCCCATTTGCCTGTAACTGATGATGAGATAACATGTGAGAGCCCTTGTGCCTAGAGACCACAGGGGACGTACTCAGTGCAGTAAGGTGGATCTCAACTCTCCAAGTCAATTCTTGGGAACTGCCAGTGCCTTAAAGGGAGTACCAAGTCTTAGATGTTTAAGAAATATTTGTTGAGCTAAACAGCATTCTTCTTGTGATGGGTGACCAATGTCGTCTTTCTCTCTCTCTCTTTTTTTTTTTGGCGGCTGGTCAGTACATTATGGGAATCAAACCCTTGATCTTGGTGTCATCAGCACCCCACTCTCCAAAGTGAGCTAACTGGCCAGCCATGAAGTCTTATTTTTCTAACACATACTTCTTGGTAATCATCTGGGATGAAGTCCAAGACCTCAGAATCCTAAAATCAAGGATTTTCAGAATGAAATATTTGGCCTATTAAATGGCCAATTTAAAAAATTAGGTTGTGAGGGAATTGTGTAACCAATGAGTCTTTGTGAGGAAAAATGTACATTGAAAAGGAGAAAAATATCATAATTTTGCAAGACTGACTATCCTTGTAGAGAAACCACAATGCAGACATACTTCTCTATCACAAGCTGAGGGTGAAAATCTGAGACGCCATCATGCTGTGCCTGGGCACATGTTTTAAATTTTGGTAAACATAAGAAGGCAATAATTGCGTCTTCATGATAACATTACTTAATCCTTTCTATGTATACACACAGCTTTTCTCTTTCAAAATTATTGGTAAATAAAACCAATAAACCAGATAACATTTACTAAAGGAAGAAAAATATTTACCAGGCCATAAAGCCATTTCAGATGTTTCAGGTTTAGCTGTGGTCATATGACTTCTGCCTGCACGTTCTTACCACAAGGCAGCCATGCGTTTTCTTCTTACCCCATGTACTCGAGGTCAGAGAAGATGAAAGTCTTGTTGATGTCAAAGCTGCAGGCAATGATGTCCTTTGCATTCTCCACAGTGTAGCCGTAGGCCTGGTCCAAGGTCAGGTCCTCCCAAAGGTACTTCTCATCATCTGTCATCTGGATGACCAAAGGCACATTAAACACAGCCACCTACAGAAACATAGGGGAAGGAAGCTGGCATCTTGTTTCCCTGTGGAAAAATGCCATTTTGCATCTGTAAACGCAGTACCTATTTATAGCATATTATTAAAACTTCGTTGCTGACAAAGTCACATGATCTTATGCCATAAATTTGACTATTGGTAATCATAAGGGCTACTACCATTTACTGACCAAGAAGACCCTGGATGCCAGGCTCTGAGCTGGCTGCTCTACACACTTTATTTTGAACCCTTACAATAATCAAATGAAGTAGGTATTATCCCTCTCGTCTTGCAGATGAGGAAACTTGGCTCAGAGAAGCAGCTGGCCTGCAGCCACATGGAAGGGGCATAGGGTGGGAAGCGGAGCAGAAGTGGCTGACTCCAGAGCAGTGCTTTCTCTTTCACACCATGCCCCTCCAAGGTGAGCCCAGGAACGAAGTCAACAGAAGCCACAAAGGTGCCAACTCCCTGACACCCTGGCTGCTTGTCTAGTGAATAGCACTGTCCTGTCAGTTCTAAACATGGCTTATAAGTAACATTCTCCATTCACCAGGGAAGGGAGAAAAGTCATAGGATACTTACTGTGAAAATAAACGGGATGAGGTGACCTATATGCATTGCTTCAGAAGAGGGGCCCCTGCCCATGTACAGATAAAATGACTTCTTATTTTCATAGGCATCGAGAACATGATTCATATCTCTACAGCAAACCAGGAGAAAAGGAAATAGTGTGACTTTCAAGAAAAATATCAAGGCACTAATGTTCATTTGGAAATAAAAAATACACAGACAAAACAACATAGATAATAACTAGAATTTGTTGTCTTTGGTGCTCAGGATATAAAATGTCAGGTAACTTCTACTGAAATGGTTTCTTCTATGAGTAGTTGTTATAAAAGGATAAGGAGTACAGGTTTCGAATAATTTGTTTAACAGATATAGTTGGGTGGCCACTAGAACTCTTGGAATTCCTCCAAACATCAATGCTGATACACTGCATGCTTTACATACTTCCTGGGGTGTCACCAGGCCAACGACACACTTTCTAGGACGACCCAGCCCCCCAAAACTGGAGACCTGGACCAGGAAAATCACAGGGTTCCACACAGTCCTCATGTAGATGTGAGGAATGCCCTCTGGGAGTTCAGAGGGGAGTTCAGAGGCGAAGTGCCCAGCTGGAAGTCTGATTTGGGTCCCCTCAGCAAGGCTGGGACTGGGTGAATTCATCTGTGGGTCATTCTAGTTGTTCTTCCTTCAAGGACGGGGGCACAGATTGTGCAAATGAGGGTCTTCTTTGCTGGGTATGCAGCAGAATTACCTGTTTCCAAATCACAGCTGCTGGGGTCCCATCCAGAGATTCTGATTCAGTGGGTCTGAGGTGATGTCTGGGAATTCGTATTTTTAAAAAGCTTCCTTGGGCTGGCTGGTTAGCTCAGTTGGTTAGAGCATGGTATTATTAAAAGCTCTCCAAGGGATTCCAATGTTCAGCAGGGTGTGAAACTGACACGCTGTGGAGTGAATGTTCTGTGTTTCTGGACAAAGTATCCCAAAATAAAAGAGGAATAGCCACCATTTCCAGAGGTCTGGGTAGGAGAGTCCACAAAACAATATTCTAAAAGTGACTCCTCCTTACACCCCAAGCCAAGGGTCAACAGTGCTCCTCTCCATGCTGATAGGATCATGGGTGCACTGTTTTTGGTGCTTAGATTTTTTTTTTTTTTTTTGTCTTTTTTTTTTGTCTTTTTGTCTTTTTTCCGTGTCCGGCAACGGATCGCAACCCTCAGTGTTGCCCCCGTACCGGACCGGGGACCGGTGACGGGATCGCAAGACTCGGCGTTGCTCCCGCGCCTCGCCCAGCCCGTGAGCGGGAGCC